AAAGCCCAGACCAGCACAATACCACTGAAAAAGAAAAAGATGAAATTCAAGAAGAAACCAGCATGGCTGCACAAAGATCTCTCTGACAAACTGAAAGACAAAAAGGACAGATACAAAAAATGGAAAGGGGCACATTACTAAGGCCGATTATCAGCAGACAGCCAGAATATGTAAAGAAGAAGTCAGGAAAGCAAAGGCTCAGAACAAACAAAGACTTGCAACAGAAATCATGGATAATAAAAAAAAAGTTTCTTCCAACATATTAACAACAAGAAAAAAGTCAAGGAAACTGTAGGTCCACCAAAGAGAGAAGATGGCAAGGAAATAACAGGCAACAGGGAGAAAGCAGAGCTGCTTAACTCATACTTTACATCAGTCTTCACACAAAAAGAAACCATAGCCCAACATACTAAAAAAAACACTGCAAAAGACAAATTAGAAACAAAAATTAAAATAAGAAAATGGTAAGAGAATACCTATCCAACCTTGATGAATATAAATCACCGGGGCCTGACAGATTACATCCCACAGTTCTGAAGGAGCTGGCAGATATTATCTCAGAACCATTGCACCACATCCTTCAAAAATCCTGGAACACAGGGAAAGTACCTGATGATTAGAAAAGGGCTGATGTGGTTCCCATCTTCAAGAAAGGGGGAAAAAATGGACCCAGGAAACTACAGACCAATCAGTTTAACATCGATACCTGGGAAGATCCTAGAAAAGATAATCAAAAAACAGATCTGTGAACAGCTAGAAGCAAACAAAGTTATAACTAGTAGACAGCACGAGTTTGTTAAAAACAAATCATGCCAAACCAATCTTATTTCATTCTGTGGCAAAGTTGACTAAACTAATAGACCAATGAAATACTGTGGACATAGTATACTTAGACTTCAGTAAGGCATTTGATAAAGTAGATCACAACCTACTCCTTGGTAAGCTAGAAAAATGTGGAGTAGACAACATTTACCACCAGATGGATCTCTAGTTGGCTGGCAAACTGTACTCAACGAGTAGTCCTCAACGGCACTACATCCACATGGAGAGACGTAATCAGTGAGGTACCACAAGGTTCCGACCTAGGCCCAGTACTCTTCAATATCTTCATCAATAACTTAGACGAGGGAATTGAAGGGAAACTCATCATATTTGCAGATGACACCAAACTGGCAGGAGTATCCAACACCCCAGAAGACAAATTCAGGATTCAAAAAGATCTTGACAAACTTGAACAATGGGCCCTATCCAACAAAATGAGTTTCAATGTGGAAAAAAGCAAAGTTTTACATTTAGGCAGGAAAAATCAAAGGTACAAGTACAGATTGGGCAAGACCTGGCTTAAAAACAGTAACTGTGAGAGGGACCTTGGAGTCCTAGTGGACAATCACTTAACCATGAGCCAGCAGTGTGCAGCAGCAGCCAAAAAAAGCTAATACAATCCTGGGTTGTATAAGAGACATAGAATCAAGATCACGCAAGGTATTAGTACCGCTTTATAAAACTCTAGTAAATCCACACCTGGAATACTGCAGCCAATTTTGGTCACCATATCACAAAAAAGATGTTGAGAGTTTGGAAAAATTTCAGAGAAGAGCAACTAAGATGATCATAGGCCTGGAGACTAAAACATATGCAGGCCTTGGGTTTGGCTAGTTTAAAGAAAAGAAGAAATAGGGGAGATATGACAGCAGTATTCCAGTATTTGAGAGGCTGCCCCAAAGAAGAGGGGGTCATGTTATTCACCAAAGCACCAGAGGGCAGGACAAGAAACAATGGTTGGAAACTGATCAAAGAGAGAAGCAACCTGGAATTAAGGAGAAACTTCCTGACAGTGAGGACAATTAACCAGTGGAATAGCTTGCCCCCAGAAATCATGGGTGCTCCATCACTGGAGATTTTTAAAAAGAGGCTAGACAGTCACTTATCTGAGATGGTATAGGTTCTCCTGCTTGAGCTGGGCGCTGGACTAGAAGACCTTCAAGGTCCCTTCCAGATTCTATTCTATTCTATTCTATTCTATTCTATTCTATTCTATTCTCAAGCCAGCCAAATGATTAATATATAATCAAAATGAAAATGATTTGTATTTTTCACTTTAAATACCTTACTGAAAAATTAAAAGGCATATATAAGTTTTCAAATGTTTGTGTGGTGATCCAAAGTCCTATTTTGGTATACACTTTTGTGAGACTTTCAGGTGTAACATTTTAGCAAAGGGCTCTGTTTTATACAGCTCACCAAGTCTAAATCTGGTACTGGTTAAGTATACAATAATTTTATTTCAAAAGTCTTCATGTGCTGGTTATGGAAGTCAGGTGGTAGCAACTATTGAATGTGTTGGAGAGATTGTCTACTGGGACAGGACCCTGCCTGACAACCAGGTATGCAGATTTGTCCTAATGCAAGCCAACATATAGTCTCAGATGTTACATGTAGTAAAAAAAAAAAAAGGCCATCAGAGTTATGCAGACATAGAGAATGACGTTGATTACAAGAAAAACTTTATATGACATTATCATTTCTTTAGAAAGTAATTCACATGTTTTTTTCTTAGTAATATATTGGTCATTTCTCTAAATTATTATTGAGTTTGCAAGCTGACGCAAAAACAGAAGGTTTGCTTAAAACCCCAGAAGTAAATATGTTCCATCATCTGTTATGTGGTAAGGTACTAATCCCTTGCAAGTTAACAAATCTACTGCCAAGTTTTAATTGCTAATATTTCTTTCATAAAAATATCAGTCTGATCTACAAGCATGCATGTAGGAAACACAGAAGCCATAGCCTGGGTTAGAAAGAATAAATAAGGTCTCAGAAGAAAAAGACCATTTCTCAGCCAGACAGTTATAATTAACAATTATAATAAGCACTTATAATTGATCATCTTGATCAAGATGATCAGTTAGAAAAGAAGTTTTATATCAATGTGGTTATTTGCAGAAATATTAGAAAAATTTCTATATTCGTTATTTATCCAAATAATAAGAATTGTATTAATTCAAGGATGGCAAAAGAGAACATTTGTGGAAGAAGAGAACATGAAGCAAAGCTATTATGTGGACTATAGAATTCTAGAAACTAATTGTTATTGTTTTTTTTAAAGATAAACCCAGACAACACGATGTTTACCAAATATTAAGGTGATTATGTAAAAAAAACAGATTTAAAAAAAACAAAACCATTTTAATGGGAAAAAAATAAGCACTTATAAGTGAATAAGTTGACATTTAAAATACAAACTTTTGGCTATAAATTGAAAAACTTTTATAGCTGCTGAAAAAAGAAAGTTAGTTCTCCCCCTAGTGGTCAAACATCAACATTAGGATTAGTTTGACCTTAGGATAACAAATACAGGGGCTGGCAATTGTGATACATCTGTGAACAATGGGGTGGGGGCAAGGTGGAGTAAGCAGGAGTATTTGCCTTATTTTTGTTTGTCCACTTAGCCCCCAAATTGGCTCCTACTGCATTCATTCAAATGAATGAGCAGGCCACAGCAGAAAGAATACAGCTTATCTATTCTAATTAGAGCAAAATGAAGTAATATGTAAGAAAATCTGCTTATGTAATTTAGAAATACAAGCAGTTGGAGTAAGAGAAGCTGCTAAATTCTAACACTAATGAGTTAAGAAAAAGAAAACACGGCAGGGAGAAGTATGACTTTTTCCCAGATCTGAAAATGAACGGGAGGCAGTTTTCTAAAATAATTAAATTGTGCTACCCAGATACAGGGGAACAACTGCACCTCTTCTCTATGGTGCTTTTGTGGGTGTTGGAACAGACAATTCTCCTTTTTTCCCCTCTTTTACAAACAAGGATTTTATGGCAGTATCTATTATCTGAACCCTAACCCTTTCAATTTGGGGGTTACTGCTTAATCATATACTTATGTAAATCTAATCATCTAAACTTAGAGCAGGTGAAAATTCCTTATCTAAGCAAATATCACATTTGAGATGCACCACCAGAAATGTGCCTGAATTAACATACAAAAACATACATTTTAAGTTATTGATTTTAATTAATTTAGACTCAAGCGTCACAGGTTCTAAAAACTGCCATGATTTCAGAAGTTCATTTCCAGAAATTCTCCTGACACAGATTTTCCATTTTCCTTCAAGTTAACAAGAGATTTAGGCGACTGGTATCCAAACAATTAAAACTTGAGAAAAATATAACTGAAGCTCAAGAATGCTCTTTGTGAATTTTATGTGGCTGGCATTCACTCAACGATCGTAGATAATAAGAACAGAAAAATGCTAGTGTTATAGCTGTTATAGAGCAATGCTGACAAAATTATGTTAGTCTGTTTAGCAATCAGTCATCAAAATGTTTGAAAGTACTTGAAAGCATTATTTAAGCTACTTTTCATTAACACAATGGATTATGTACTATGCAGAACTGTAACTTTTATCAGCCCAACCATGACAGCCAAATTGCTTGAGGACAGGAATTGTAGCCTAACAGGTCTGGAGAACAATACACTGAGGAAGGCAGAAAGTTTTCAGAGATCACAGTCCACATTATCTCGTGCATCTAAAGATGTGATGTAGGTTCTAGTTCACAAATGTTGTACATGAATAAATTCAGATTTAATTCAGTGTGTTGTAGGTTTTTTTTGCTATTGAGCAAGGGTTTTTTTGCTATTGAGCAAAACACTACTTTCAAAGCTTACACTTCCGGGCTTTTATGGCTATTGTATATAAAAAAAATCCAAGGTATTCTTATAAAATAAATGAAGCAAGAAACCTTAGATCAAGGCTCCATTTTGGTTGCACTTCTCCCTTTCAAAGGTACAATGACCACAGAATGCCCCCAAATAAAAAAACAAGAACAAAGACAATATCAGAAGCACTTGAAAAGTTGAGTTGATCCATTTAGTAGGGAAAAGGAGTAGCTTCCCTCCAGATTCCTTAAATGTGTCAATTTATTTCGGAACTGATCAGTAAAAACTGTAGTTATAGTTACTATGTGCTTGTTTAAATACCTTTTACTAATTTATTTTGAAGACGATTCCCACAGTAAAAAGCAAGGTTAGGTGACAACAAGAAGTTTGGCATGAGCTGAGGCATGACATAAAGAGTAGCTTATCACACACATAAACCAAACATTTTGAGAAATCAAGAAGTTACCTGGCTTTTCATTCTTTTTTAAAGAAAAAAAAACAAACAATACTGGATACCAACTTTGGGAATCATATAAGTTTCTTTCCTCTATCATCCCAAAGTTGAAGTCAGAGTGTGCACCATATCCATAGGTTAGATTAGAAACATTTTACAAATATTCTATACATTTCCAATATATTATATGGAGACCATTACAACTTCTGTTTCTACATTAAATTAAATATTTCCCATTCTGCACAAAAAGCTCACATTAAAGAGATGCTACAGAATCCAACAGGTGTCTTACATCAATCATATTCCCTTTCTATATATGAAGGGAAGCAAAATCAGGACGGTGTCAAGATGGAACTCCTGTTGTGTCACAATCAACATACCTTATCCTGACCGATTTGAAAAAAAGGAAGGGCAAGTTGGCACCTTGCATTTAAGAGTCTTTATTTTTATTGTGATTTTAGTGTTCCATTCATCAATTTCATTTAATATAAAGTGGTCCAAGAGAAAAAGTGCTCTTGTTTTAACTTCCATCATCCAAAGTTCACATAGTAAGAATGTTCAAGATGGTTTCGTTAAAAAGTGGCAAAAAATGTACAGTTCAGAATTAGCACACTTGGTGTTTCTCCAGGAGAAAAAAAAATCATCAAGATGTATAGTAAATCTTCACTATAATTAGTGGTAGTGATTCTGAGCATTTGGTCAATGTCCGTGGTTCAGGGAAGAGATTCAGAAAAAAGCTGCAACTTATTTGGTCTCAGTCTTATCTTGCAACAGTGGTATAATAGACTCCCACGCCGTAAGGCACTATTTGAATGAAAGAAACAGATACAACAATTAATTAATAATGTCATTCTAAATCAAATAGTCATAAGGAATGATCTTATAATAATGTCATTTAACGCTTAAGTGGCCTTAAATAATACAATTTGTGGATTAAACAATTTTGTCAATATCTGCATTTCCAATACAACAGCTGCAAAGGCACAATTTTATGATATGATCAATAAAATTGACAATAACCATTTATTCTATTAAATAATAGGTTATTCTACACCTTGTAGATCAGGCATATCAAACTCGTGACGTCACGTGACGTTGCGTGACGTATCGCAACTTTTTCCCCATTGCTGGCAATGGGGTAGGTGCGGTTTTGGTGTGATGTATCCTGCCCGCGGGCTGGCAGTTTACATACCTGTTGTAGATTGTCTTTCTTTATGTGGGATATCTCATATCCTTTCCAAATCTATCACCTTCCAGATGCACTGGAGCTTATATTTTCAAGATTTCCCACCTATCAAAGTTCACATACTTTTGCCACACACTAGATAGATAGGTAGGTGGGTGAATGGGTGGATGTATAACCTTTATTGTCTGGCAGATCTTAATCATTTAATGTACACAAGTGTCTTTTTGACCAGTGTAACTCTGCAAGGTCCTACCCAAAATAGATTTAATGGTGGCCTTACAAATCAAGGCTATTTGTAAGGCCACCATTAAATCTATTTTGGGTAGGACCTTGCAGAGTTACACTGGTCAAAAAGACACTTGTGTACATTAAATGATTAACACTCCCAAATGTGTTAGAAGGACAATTCCCAGAATTTGCAGCCAATCTGGCCCATGATGTGCAAGGTCAACCTATGCTATGGGCCGTCACTTACTGACAAACTACAAATGTAATTTCCTGCTCTATCTGTGTGGACAGGATTCGGCCTCATCAGTGACAGTATAAAACAGCCAAAGCTTTAACAAGATTAGTGCACCCAGGAAAAAAGAGAGAGCAATTCTAAAGCTTATTACATCAGCTTTATACTCAACGGGCATCAGCAAGTTAATCAGTAAAATTACATTCAACTGCTTTCCTGCATTTTCTAGTGGCAAATTTAGAGCATTACCTTCTCGTAATATTGGATGTTTTTATCTGCCATTCCCATCAGCAGCTGCCTAAAATCTTGCCGCTTGTTGTTCTGCCATCTGTCCATGTCAGCCTTCAGGTCGGCATTAAAGCACTCTACCCGGTCTTGACACTTTTCAACATCTGTGGGCATCTGGAAACCAAAAACGAAGCAGTGCTGTGGAAATAGGTTCTGAAAGCTTTTTAGACATAAAAAGATCTCTGACTGAGAAGAATCAGAAATACCTTTCAATTTTTCACAGGTACCTCGATTAATGATTGCTGCAGAGTTCATAAAGTTCCACTTATTCTTGAACATACGTACTCAAGCCATTACTTACTACGATTGCCAGTTATATATAATGGCCAAGTACAAAGTATGAATGAAGATCCTGTATACTAAGGAGCTTTTTATTTCTTACCTATGCAAATAGTAGGACAGTCTAAGTTAAGGATAATGTACCGGACAAGGTATTGGATTTTAACCAAGGCTGCATGGATATAAATTTCTCAGCACAGATCTAAAGTATATTGGATAGCAGGATCCAATCTGGGTCGCTCACCGGGACAAGAGTTTTTGCCTTCTGAGCTTTTGGACCTTTGCTGGAGCCCATTTTCAGGGAATGTCTCCCTAGAAGAGTGTGTGCTGTTCTCTGTGTGGTATTTATAGTGCCTGTTGTAAGTGGCTTTTTAGATGTTGATTGGGGTATGTTGATGGCTGGCTTTTAAGTCCTTTGGGTATATATTATATTGGGTAGCTTTACTGAATTTTTCTTTCAACATGAGATTGTTAAGGGAACAAAATGGAGTTACTCCTGCATGTTGTCCTGGGAGAGATTTTCAAGCTATTGCACACAGAATTTGGTACATTAAATCCAGTGAAATGTACTCCCAAGGCAAGGAGTTAATACTTCCTCCACAAAATAGTACTGATTAAAAAAAAAAAAGCCTGTAGATTCTTGCACAAGAACAAATACAGGCAGTCCTTGACTTACAACAGTTTGTTTAGTGACCATTTGAAATTACAACGGCACTGGAAAATATGACCTACAACCATTTCCCACACTTATGACCACTGCAGCATCCCCATAGTCACGTGATTTACATTCAGATGCTTGACAGTTGGTTCATATTTATGACGGTTGCAGTGTCCCGGAATCATGTGATCCCCTTTTGCGACCTTCTGACAAGCAAAGTCAATGGGGAAGCCAGATTCACTTAACATCTGTGTAACTAATTTAACCACTTCACTGATTCACTTAACAAATGTGGCAAGAAAAGTCGTAAAATGGGGCAAAACTCACTTAACAAATTTCTCACTTAAGAACATAAATTTTAGGCTCAATTGTGATTATAAGGTGAGGACTATCTGTAGCAACAAAGGAAACACACAACAGTTATCAGGAATAAACTGAAGGAAATATGATATTATGTCTGGAAACAAAACCAAGAACTCATCTCATTGTGACTCACAATGCCTCAACTATTTATAGAAGCTACTTCTGTCAGGACACAGTTTTCTAATTAAATCAGATAATACTAATTATAATTAAATAGAGTTGAGATACTATTCTTCATAAGAATTCTTGCTTATTTTCACAAACCTCACCCACATTCTTAGTCTCAGTTCAATAGTGTTGGTATTTAATTGAAACAAGACGCTACTACCCAATGTATAGAAAACGTTATTGGAAACCTTCAGTAAAATAAACTATTGAACAGACTCCTCATTCAATTTAAAAGCTTCTCCCCCAGAGCAAACCTTGGGACGGTCTTCTCTCTTGAGGACCACAGCTTCTAGTTTGGCTTCATATTCTGCTTGAACTTGATCTCTTTTCTTCAACACATTCTAAGAGGGGAGAAGAGAGAAAGAAGTGCTGCAATTAATTAAAGAAATTGTAAAAATCAATAGTCTCTCATTGTACTATAGGTAGTCCTGTAAGTTCATTTAATGACTGTTCAAAGTTACAACACTGGAAAAAAGTGACTTAAGACTGTTTTCACACAACCAGCCCAAAAGGGAACAAAAAGACCCAGGCACACCCCCCCAGCAATCAGCACCCAGATCAGCATAGATTAACTCCAAGGTTAACTTCTGATCAACAATCAAGTAAACAATACCCCAATCAAGAGTCAACAGTAAACAGCCCAACCAAAGAATCTCTAAGACAGTGGTTCTCAACCTTTTTAATGCCGCGACCCCAACCGGTCGTAAGTCGAGGACTAAACCGGTCGTACGTTGAGGACTACCCAACCAGTCGTAAGTCGAGGACTTTCCCTGCCCGGGAGCGCCGCGCATGCATGGTTCCGCCCCCTGCGCCGGCCGAGGCGTAGCTGGCAAGCGGTAGAGACGGAGCAGGCTGACCACCAGCTGGCCCAGCCCAAGGGAGGTAAGGCACCCGCTGGAAAAGGGGAAAAAATGGCGGACAAAAAAAATGGCGGACAGCCTTGCTTGGCGACCCCCGTGAAATGGTCGATCGACCCCAAATGGGGTCCCGACCCACAGGTTGAGAACCACTGCTCTAAGACCACCCCCACCAACACTGACAGGGCAAGTCACCAGAATATAAACTGACAGCAAACCGCGCTCCTTACTAGCACTGATGATGTTACCTAGTTTGGGTATGAAAAGTCTACAAGAAAACAAGCAAGCTTAGAGAGTTGTGAGTCAAAGACTATCTGTACAGGAAAGCTTCATTTTTTCTAGATCTCATTTTCTGCATAATGACGACAAGCACAATACATCTGAAATCACAGTGATTCAGAAAAAATAATGCAGATAATTCTCAACTTACAAGCATTCGTTTAGTGCCCAAAGTTACAATGGTACTAAAAAAAAGTGACTTATGACCTTTTTCATACGACCGTTGCAGCATCCCCGTGGTCACATAATCAAAATTCAGATATTTTTTTTCTTTATAAAAAGCGGGGAGCAGAGGGTTCTTCACAAACTAGCATCTGTCAGCCTCCCCACCAGTTAGGAGTTTTTTAAAACAAAGATCCCCTTATTTGTTATTATTAATAAGTATACAACTCTTTTGCATACATATTTTATTTATTTATTCATCCATGCATCCATATATTATTCCACTCTTATGCCTAGAGTCAGTGCTTCATCACTTCAGCAATATATGAGCAAAAACTACAATCTTCATCACTTAAGTGGACCAAGTCTAAGACTGAAGGTTGACAAAGGACAAAAAATACAGAGAACAGATGCAATATCCACAGCTCAGTCTCCCTCGCCATTTAAGCCTGATGTGTTCAGATCAATGTATAAATAAGGCTTGGTCATATCAACGTTCATACTTCCTCCCATCAGCAATCATTAACAATGTAAATGCCTCAGATTGCCTCAACACATGCATCTTCCGTTTACCCAACCAGGAAAATCACACTGAAATATGGCAGGCAGCTTGTGATGGATGCGTAGCCAGTAAATGCACAAACTCAGGAAATCTATTTCCTTTATTTACATCTATCTTCTTCTTCATTTACATCTCAAAATGTTATTTGGGGGCCTTTTTACAAATATATATTCGGCAAGATGGCTTGCAGAGTTGAAAGAAATCAACTTGAATAGACTGCAATTTAGGCTAAGGATTTTCAGCTATTTGTCATAGTACAGGTGCTCCTCAGCTGACAGCCAAGTAATTGGAACCAGAATTCCCATTAAATTTCCATTGTAAAGAATGACATTATGTGACCACTTCACTTAGTGACCGTAATTCTGGCAGTCCCAGTTGTCACCATCCCAGCCTGGTCCCTCCCAGCCCCAAGCACAGTAAAATAAGGAGCTACATTCTCTTTAGTCCCCCCCCACACCTCTCTCTCCTCCATGTCTGCTCTTTTGGGGCTGGCAGAGGTGACCAAATGGCCAAAGAGTTGGTAAAAAAAATCGAAGCACCCCTGCAGTCACAAAGTCCTGGCAGGCAACCAAGAGCCAGAATTTTGATCAAGTGACCATCGGAGTGCTGCCACAGCCATAAATTCAAAGACCAGACATAACTATCATTTATTCAGTGCCAATGTAACTTTGAACGGTGGCCGAACAAATGGTTAACTGACTATCTCTAAATACGAAAGTCATTCAGGTCAAATTATGTAACCACGTAACCCAGTAGTAGCAGCAGCAGCAGCATGGCAGTGTTCTCATAAGACTTGCTCACTATTTTTTTTTTTTAAATGAAGGTACCATGGGTTGAAAGCCCAAGTCCCCAGCATGCAAAAGATGTGCTGTACTGCTGAACTAGCTCCCTTTTGAAAAAAAAGAAAAACTCTTAGAAGTTAGCTACAAGCTAGCTATTCCTTTTGAGTTGAAATGATGGTAGGAGAAAGCAAGTTGGGTCATTGTTTAACCAAGATGACTAATAAAAACAAAAAAAAATTATATTCTGCCCAAATATGGCTCCTGGGCCATATCCAGTCCTTTGACTGTCCCTATCTGGCCCATGTGAGGTCAATCAGAAATTAGAAAATAAAATGTAAATAAGTGGGGGAGGAAGAAGAAGCTGAGTACACTCCTTTAGTTGGCTGGTGAAAAAAAACTTTTCTGCACTTGCGGCAAAAGAGTGGTGAGGCGAGGCTCCCTCCTCCGTCAACATGAGGTGGCAGCAGAATTAAGTTCAGCCTATTGGTTCAGCCCTCCACAAAATCCCAGTTTCTCATGCAGCCCCTTGGAAAAATGAATCGCCCACCCCTGTATTATGTATTATGTTGCGTTTTATTGCTAAAAAAGATATCAACTTCTTTTTTCTTTTAAAGTTAAGCCGGGAGAGATTGCAGATTTCTCAAACAAAACAGTTGCAAGTTTCTCAAGAGAGATCGGAGACGGCACGAAGGAGCAGCCCTCAGGAGCAAAGGGAGAGAGATGTCAGAGCAGATGATAAACAAACTGGGATAACGTGTATGAAAGGGGATAGGAAGGTAGATATTATAAAACAAGGTGAGACACCTAGATTACAACCACTAAGGGGGAGGAGGATCGATCACAACTCAGTTGAAACATGCAATGGGGCCAGAAGAAAATTGAACGATCCACGCCCCACATCTAGTAAAGAGAGTTGCGTGCATAGAGGTGGGGGAATGGAGATGATTACCATCAGTAAGGGAGTTGAAGGGACCCTTCCCAGCCCCAGAGTCAATGATGGAGGTATACGCAGTGGAGTATGGAGAGGAGATGGGAAAGAACCACACGCTGACGAAAGAGATACACTCGGAGTGCAAAAGCACGGCCAGCTGGGACCGGTTACGTGATCTCGAAGCCGGATGCAGGCAATTAGAGATCGTATGTAAGCTTCTCCCAGGGACTGCCTTTTTTAAACCCTGACGATGTCGGGAGCACCTGACGAAAGCTAGGTTTGATTTATTAAATATTTTCTATTTATTCTCTTGGTGATCATTATTTATTGGTTTTTTATAGTATGGATATACCCAAGAGTCGGATTTTTAAGGGATTTTAAGAGAAAAAACACATTATACATTGCAAAAGTCCTATGTCACATGTGAACCACTGTTGGCCAAAACTGAGAGATACCACATGGGATAGATATGCTAGATCTTTGTGGGGGATTAGTGGGTAATAATCCTCTGTCTTCATCTGCAGTCTGTTGACAAACTATCAGTCTCTCCCTACCCAATCTTTAGCATGACTGGCGCTGAACTATTCCAGGATTTGAAGAATAAAACCATAAATTACATTCCAGGCTCAAAGTTTCAAATAACCCTGCTTAACTATTTATTTATTTATTTATTTATTTATTTAATTTAATTTATATGCCGCCCTTCTCCCGGCGGGACTCAGGGCGGCGCACAACATATTTAAAACCAAAACATGTATACAATCCCCCCCTTAAAACCGAATTAAACCAAATTTTAATGTTGTGTCTTCCAAATTCCTAAAAAACCCAGTATAAAATCCACCCTAGGTCAGGNAGGTAAGGAGATCCGGAATTATCCGAATCTCGGGGGGTAGTTCATTCCAGAGGGTAGGGGCACCCACAGAGAAGGCCCTCCCCCTGGGGGTCGCCAGCCGACACTGCTTGGCCGACGGCACCCTGAGGAGACCCACTCTGTGGGAGCGTACCGGTCTGTGGGAAGGAATCTGCGGCAGAAGGCGGTCTCGGAGGTAACCAGGTCCTATGCCATGGAGCGCTTTAAAGGTGGTAACTAACCGGGTCCTATGCCATGGAGCGCTTTAAAGGTGGTAACTAACACCTTAAAGCGCACCCGGAAGGCCACTGGCAACCAGTGCACTAAACTGAGAGCAAATCACATTAAGTAATAGAAAAAAGGAAATTTGCTCTAGAAAAGAACATATTTCTGAAAATAGCTCTGACGGTGGAAATTGTTATTAATCAAAAGCCAGTTTACATCTACGCCAGCAATAAAAGTTTGCATTCATTGTTCCGTCAGTTTGTATTCTGGAGGCAGAAACACGTAAATTTCAAGGATGCTAAAGTGGAGTTTTTTAATTAAGACATGTAAAATTTCAAGTGATGGGTCAAAGAGTTACCTTTCCTTTAAAGAAAGCATTTGGAGTGCTATTCAAGGCACGTACAGACATCTATCTTGCAATCCGCACATTACCTTCATGGAATCTGAATATAGGATATATTCTCGTAAAACAGGCAGAAAGTCTTCAGTCATATCTTCGCTCAATTCCTCAAGGGCTGTGCAACAGTTTCCAATGCAGGCTGATACTCCTTCAAGAGGTTCAGACACCTCTGTTTCTAGTGCACTCCAGGTTGAATAAACAGGACCATATTCTCGTAGTTCCACTAAATATTCTGCAGCAGATAAAAACGAGGGACAGAAGATTCTGTGTTTCAAGGTTATGAGACCTTTTTTTTTTTTTAAAAAAAAAAAATCAAATTCAATTTTGAGAGGAAATGTTCACATTTAGCAAGAAGTTGAGCAAATCAGAAACTATTCACACTTGGGAAAACTTTGGAGAAAAACAGTATCATAAGAAGCAAAATAAGGAGAAGAAATACATAGGAATTTAGCAATTTAACAACTATGCCCAACGTGTCTTTCCAAAATCTTTTTGCACAGCTCCTTATGCAGCATAACAAATTTACATCCAAGAGAGGATGAATGCATGCATCTTTCACAATTTGTTTCTTGAAAACAAATTGTGAGTTACAAGGGAACCCATAAGTCCTACTTACCCACTTCCTCTTTGATTATCCGCTGTGCTATTCTATCAATAGTTCCTAGCTTCAGAGAAAACGTGTCTAGATAGTCACCCATGGCAGCAAACTCCAACGGTCGACTTCTTAATTTGTAGCTTCCTGTGACATATTTTACCGATTCTCCCATCTTAGTAAGCAAAGCCATTCCTTGTTTTTTGTAAGCATTAAGATCCTGGTATTGACAGAATGGTTAATAAATTTACAGCTCTGCTCAAAATATTCACCCTTATAGAACTATCTGATCAAGAAACAGTCATGTTCATCCCACTGAATTTGTTATAGTTAAACTGTGGACCATATGGGTGATTTTAAAAAGTAGAAAATCCTTCGCAATACCTAAGTGACTATTTTTAAAGCAATGAAGACATCAAAGTGAAGTAACTGAAGAAAAGAAGGCTGTTCTTGGCTACAACTGAAAAATTCAGTTGTGTTTATTTTATTGTTCTCTAACCACTACGAGCTCTATACATAAAAGACAATGCCCAACACCTACCAGAATCTAAAGCTAGCATTTAACAAAATGAATTAAAGAAAGGTGTATTTATGTTGCTGCGAGGAAATGTTCATATTCTAAGGACTTGCACCTCTAATTACAAGTTTTGAAAATCAGAAATTCTGTGTGGATTCAAATTCACTTACTTTGGCTGTAAGAAATACATGAAAATGTTCATTGAAAGAAAGTACTGGATGGTCCGCAATCCTTTTTAAGAATTTATCCAAGGCCTTTCTCCTCGTCTCAACAAATTCTTCTGAAAAACGGTCAACAACACCTTTGACTACAAATTTTTCTGGAAGAGGCTGGGGAGGGGAGGAAGAAAGTTACAGGAAACAAAATTCATAGGGATGGGTGTGTGTGTGTATGCATGCATATATGTATATGCACACATGTGCTTGTGTGTGTGCAGTAATTTTTTGCATTACTATCTAGATAATTGTGGAGGAATTAAAATCTACCTTGGAACCTGACATTTCTCCTTGATGTTCAGGATACACCTGTTCTGGTAGCAGAATCAGTTTTTCCCTCGGTCCCAACCCAGAATGAGTCAGAGGCGTTGCATTTTCTTTGGATTTGCCTGAACTCAAGACTCTCAGGCCAGTTAACCAGGCAATACTTCCTTCCCACAGCCCGCCTTGTCCTTCTGTTTTATCTCAAAGACATCTGGCTGTTTTAAGAACACTTTATTCCCTGCAGAGCACTAAGAGAAGTTGTGACTCAGTCATCATGGCCCGCTGTTAGTTGCCAGCTTATCACTGCAATCTCGGAGTTAACAATAAAAATATAGTTAAGACTGCACTGCTAACACCGTAAGATCACGTCAACTGCAAATTATTTTCCATTTCTGAATATTAACATTGAGGTTTATGAGGGCAACCATTTTGCCACTAGTACTCCCCAAACATGCATTTTAAATCTCACAGTGGTGGCAATTTTCAGTCACCTTCAGGTTGTTAATGTCAGGGAGTAGAAGATGAATTAAAATTCATGTTTAAAATCCCAAAGATCCCAGGAGACAAAGTCAATCTAATAGACTAACCCACTTTAAAAAAAAGAAAGTGCTATTAGATAACATGATTTGAAAGTGAGCATGTAAAATCAAATACAGGTAGTCCTTGACTTACAACCACAATTGAGTCTGTTGCCAAGTGAGAAAGTTGTTAAGTAAAATTTTCCCAATTTTACAACCTTTCTTGCCACAGTTGTTAAGTGAATCACTGCAGTTGTCAAGTTAGTGACATGGTTGTTAAGTGAATCTGGTTTCCCCACTGTCAGAAGGTCGTAAGGGGTGATCAGATGACCCTGGGACCCTGCAATCGTCATAAATGTGAGTCAGTGGCTAAGCATCTGAATTTTGAACATATGACCAAGGGGATGCGGCAATGGTGATAAGGGTGAAAAACGTTCATAAGTCACTTTTTCAGTGCCATTGAAACATCTAACAGTCACTAAACAAATAGTTATAAGTGGAGGACTACCTGTAGTACATCAACAACAAGCAAAGACTTGTTACGCTATTTATTCATAAAAACGTGCAGTTTCAAGAAGTCCAGTGGGATTCTGGAATTTAAATCTAAACCAATTATTAGAAAGCTATAAATCAAATTTTATAAAATTAAAACTCTGACTCATAACTTAGTTCAACAGAAAATGTTCAGTGTAGAATTGACATCTTGATATATCCTGAATCCATTTTTTCCTCCATTCAGTTGTGCCCAATTCTCAGGGACAGTATGGACGAATAATAATGGGAAATGAACACTGTTGTTGTTTTAAGAAAAATTGTGTGCTGGTGACTCTGACTTACTACCTACAGGAATGAGATGAGTTGGCTGAGATTCCTCCAGTTTATTCCTGAGCCAATCAAAATCCTGGTATCTTCGGCGCATTGAATACTCTGGCAAGTCAAACTCAGCTCGAGTAGTCTGGAACAAAAGAACAAACATCAAAAGTGGTAAGAGAACAAGAAGGTCTAGTGCATGAAAGTTAATGTTCTGCACCTCTTAAATAAAATACATTCTTTCTGAACGCTGCAAAGTTCGTGTTTAATTCCTTTTGCAAACTGTGCAGCATTTCACAAGCTGAGTCACTCAACCAATTGAAGAAAACAAAACAAATTCTGAATCTTCCCTTCTCAGGCAACTTACAGAGATACAGCGTTGTGATAGTTTTCAGGTTGTGCGTGGAATAATGTGTGATGGTCCTACTATCATATGCACAAAAGACAGAAGAAAAAGGTCTTCGGAGAGAAAAGTTTGAATTTTGGCAAGAGCAAATTTGTGGGCAAAGATTATTTACATTTATGCAATGTATCTCTACAACATTTATGCAAAATTCTACCCGTCTGATTTTAAAAGGAATTTCTTTCTATAACAAATCCAAAATCAAGTTGTTGTCTCATCTATAGCTACAAGCCACGCATATATGTCTTTTTCGAGTTAAGCTCAGCTCCTGGTGGTTGCACACACATACTTATGTCATTTCCTTGGATGTGATACAAAAGTGTTTTCATCTAGGATAGTGTTTTATTTTACTTTTCATATAGCCACAGTTCTCAAATTTCCAGAAGGAAAAATCCTCAAAGAATGCCAAGAACATAATACGGTTGTGTCCATGCAAACCATTTTACTTTTACCTGAATAATCTTACTTCCTTTTCCTTTTCCCATCCCTTTTTTCCTTCAATGTCCTATTTTTTTTTAAGACTATAAGCACAGGGGAAGGTACCGTGGTCTCCAATGGGTTGGGGCCAAGATTTTCATTCTTATTTGAAACTGGGTAGGCTGTAGAAGCCTTTCCAATATTGATGTTCAAAACATGCAACTAACACCAATTAGAAATGGAAAGTATTTTAGATCTTAACCAAGCGAAGGAAACAAAATGTACTGCAAGGGGCTCTTGCCTGCTCCCAATAGGCAGATTATTTTAGTTTCTTCTACAAGAAGAAAGCAATCAATTCTGACTTGACAATTTGACAAATACTCTTAGAACAAGAGGAAACAAACTTTTAGAATGCATGGGAATCCAACTGTTACTAAGCATTTCAAGAAGCTCGAAATAGAGTAAAGTTGTTTTTAATAAAAAAATAAGATTCTGAACAGAGCAACTTATCTTGTGGTACCTTAGTTGTGACGCGGTAAGTGATGTAAGTCTCCATCGTACAGACATGCTTTTTGGGATCATCAACAGTGACAAAGAGGTCCCTCATCTCCCCGTCCAAGTCATCATCCAGCTGTAGTCTATTAAGAAGCGAGGAGGAAGAGGCTGGACTAGAAGTATCTACCGGAGTACCATTGGGCAAACTGAGATCCTGGAGGAAGACACAAAAATCAGGTGTGGGAAAGAGACACAAAAACCAGTTCCTGAGGTTCAGCCACAGAGATGAACCAGCACAGAGATCCACACATTGGATCCTAATGGATATTCATTTGTAGAGAATATTAGTAGAATCTTATAATAATATTTAGTATTGTTAAGTTTTTATATAGACCAGTGGTTCTCAACCTTTTTAATGCCGTGACCCCAACCGGTTGTAAGTCGAGGACTAAACCGGTCGTAAGTTGAGGACTACCCAACCAGTCGTAAGTTGAGGACTTTCCCTGCCCGGGAGCGCCGCGCATGCGTGGTTCCGCCCCCTGCGCCGGCCGAGGCGTAGCTGGCAAGCGGCAGAGACGGAGCAGGCCGACCACCAGCTGGCCCAGCTCAAGGGAGGTAAGGCACCCGCCGGAAAAGGGGAAAAAAATGGCGAACAAAAAAATGGCGGACAAAAAAAATGGCGGACAGCCTTGCTTGGCGACCCCCGTGAAATGGTCGATTGACCCCAAATGGGGTCCCGACCCACAGGTTGAGAACCACTGATATAGACCTTCAAGTGTTCAATGCTTTATGTTATCTTGTGATTCTTATCTCAGTGTAGGCAACCATTATCTTTACTAGTAGCAGAATGAGGCCGATTCTTTTCCAAATCCACTGTTCTCTCTTCCTAATCCAAAAAGTCAACTTTCAAATCTTACCAAAGGATCGTTTGCTAGTTTCCTCCATTCTGTTCTGCCAGATACATATGTGCTTATTTATATTTTGTTCCTCTAGTCCAGAGGCAGCACTCAGAGCCCTCTCTGTGGGCATGCGTGCCATGCCCCAGAGATGGCGAGGGACTGGCCCCCGCCACCCTGGCCCCGCCCACCCAGTCTGCCATGACCACCGCAGCCACGCCCACCCAGCACCTGGTAATAAATAAGTGGGTTTGGGGTTGCAATTTGGGCACTGGGTCTCTAAAAGGTTCGCCATCACTGCTCTAGTCTTTAAGATAAGAGTTCAATTACTAATGCCAATACTTCCCTAATAACTTTAGTGAAATGGATTACAGCCAAAACCTTCAGCTAAGGAATTTCCTTCTAAGCCAATTTATTCTACCTTCTCCAACTCCTCCAGAAGAAGCAGGAAGGGCTCTTTCTGCAGCTGTCTCTGTAAAAGAGGATGGTTGCCTTCTGGCTAAGAATTATTTTTCTTCCTGCTTCCAGCATTTGGGGATCCTCCTCATGTTCAGTTCTAGACCTCTGGAAATTCTGAGATTTGTAAATCAACCCCAAAAAACAGCACCACTGGATTAAGAAAGGAATATTTGTGATCTTCTGCAGGGATATGCAAAATTCACCAGTTCAGGAAAAGAGATTTTTCCATAGAATTCTGGAATGTTTCATTCCCCCTCTAGACCATGCTGAGCCTCCTTTGGATACCATTTTAAAGGCACTTCAATGACTTCCAAAAATTAATCCTTTTAAGTCTGAACCATACCCACAACAGCATGGTGGAAGAGGTTTGGCATGGTCCAAAGAGGAAATGGAACGTTCTGTTCTCAAACTCATGAGCTTTTTACCACCGTGGTCTTTGATTCTCTTTGTTTTTCTTGCAACAATTTAAAAATTATCTTTTCATTTCAGAAAACACTGTCTGTACATAAAGGTAAAAATAAGTGATGCTTAACACTCCTGTCATTTTCATAAACTCAAACCACGTAGCTTTTCTGGCAGTGATATACATTAGTGGTTTACCACTGTTTTCTTCTGTGATATTTTTTCCACTTTCCAATTTAGCCTACAGCCCTGGCATTTTTAAAAGGACCTGTGGAGTACTTAACGCACAAACATTTTTTTTTGTTTTGTTTTTCCACCTTCCAGTGCAAACTGCAGAATTGCATACGGATTAAAAATATGAAATGAAAAGCAAAGACAATTCTTCAGTTTTGTTGCTTCTTTACTAAATAAATTGAAAGTAAATCTTATTCATCAGAAATTAGATGTTATTGTCAATTTTGCATAATTGTCAGTTTTTAAAACAACAGAGGCTCAGGGCTGCAGATGAGATAAAGCAAACAATCGGCAGGAAAGAGTTCCTATCCCATCATAATACTTACAGTCTGTTTATATTACAAAGAAGATGAAATCCAGATACTGCAGTATATATAAAGTATATCCTAAATGTTTATATTGAACTCATTGTCCAAATACTACTGTACAAAATTGTTGCTATAGAAAAAGCATCAACTGGCTTACAAGAATTTCAAGATCTGCAGAATGACAAAAGCTAAGACGACTTCAAGACGAAAGTAGCTACTCATGAATTAAGATTGACTTCAAAAGGGAAAGGGCTCCTCATGAATTAAGAGCAATATACGAAATACTGCCTAAATCAGTGGTTCTCAACCTTTTTAATGCTGCGACCCCAACCGGTCGTAAGTCGAGGACTAAACTGATCGTAAGTCGAGGACTAAACAGGTCGTAAGTCGAGGACTACCCAGCTGGTCGAAAGTCGAGGACTTTCCCTGCCCGGGAGTGCCGCGCATGCGTGGTTCCGCCTCCTGCGCTGGCCGAGGCGTAGCTGGCAAGCGGCAGAGATGGAGCAGGCCGACCACCAGCTGGCCCAGCCCAAGGGAGGTAAGGCACCCGCCGGAAAAGGGGGAAAAAATGGCGGACAAAAAAAATGGCGGATAAAAAAATGGCAGACAGCCTTGCTTGGCGACCCCCATGAAATGGTCGATTGACCCCAAATGGGGTCCCGACCCACAGGTTGAGAACCACTGGCCTAAATAGAGCTAAGGCTGTTAGAAGCACTAACTATAAGGAAGTGGTCCCCAACCTTTGCTTGGTGGTCCAGCTGGGGGGAAGGGGGGACAGGAGAACTGGGCCGCATGAGCTGTAAAGGTTGGGGCAGCTCGACTTGTGCAAGTTGAGCTGCGTGTACAAGCATGCTGGCCCACCGCTCATGCAAGTTGAGTTTCCACCACTCACGCAGCCCAGTTCCAAATAGGCCACAGACCAGCAATGGGCCACAGCCTGGGCGTTGGGGACCCCTGCTGTAAGGTATGGATTTCAATGGTAGCCAAATGAGAATTAAGTGTTTGTGATAGGAATGAAATCTTGGCGATTTCTTGGAAAAGAGTACGGTAATATGGAAACAAACATCTCTGAAGATGATGTGGAATGTGTCACCTGAATAAGAGTATTCCCTACTGCAATATGCATTATAAGGCTGATTTTTCTTTCAGAATTTTTTCCCTGGCTCTTTGGAATAATATCTTTTGTTAATAAAAATACTCTCTTCCTTAGGTAATAATATTACTGATGTTTTAGACAGTTACATTGAAGCAACCTTTTCTATTTTGTCAGTTGTTTCCCGAACTGCTTTAAGTTACTTATGCAAACCATATTTTTGTCTTGCCACATAAAAAGCAGGTATCTAATCTGGTTAATACACGTTCCATATAGGTAAAGAAAAGTTAAAAGAGACTGAAGACCTATGTACAGGCAAAGGAAAGATCTTCTAGATCAGTGGTTCTCAACCTTTTTAATGCCGCAACCCCAACCGGTCGAGGACTAAGTCGAGGACTAAACCGGTTGTAAGTCGAGGACTAAACCGGTTGTAGTCGAGGACTACCCAACCGGTCGTAAGTCGAGGACTTTCCCTGCCCGGGAGCGCCGTGCATGCGTGGTTCCGGCCCCTGCGCCGGCCGAGGCGTAGCTGGCAAGCGGCAGAGACGGAGCAGGCCAACCACCAGCTGGCCCAGCCCAAGGGAGGTAAGGCACCCGCCGGAAAAGGGGAAAAAAATGGCGGACAAAAAAATGGCGGACAGCCTTGCTTGGCGACCCCCATGAAATGGTCGATCGACCCCAAATGGGGTCCCGACCCACAGGTTGAGAACCACTGTTCTAGATGGACTGATTTCTTCCATGCTAGCTGATCTGTTGATTCTGTTAAGGAAGGTTACCAAAGGAAGAGAATTGCCAATGAAAGAAAGACTAGAAACAATTCTGGTCTTCTTGTTATACTGAGGTCCTGACACACGACTATTCAAGAGCATTAATGTGCTTATGCCCCACCTGACTTAATACTTTTAGAATCTTCTAGGCGTGGTGTCGCAGTGGTTAGAATGCAGTACTGCAGGCTAATTCTTCTGACTGCCGACTGCCAGCAGTTCAATCCTCACCGGGGCTCAAGGTTGACTCAGACTTCCGTCCTTCCGAGGTTCGGTAAAATAAGGACCTAGACTGCACTCATCTACAAGGAGAAAGCCTTGGAAATGAAAGTAACTAAATTTTACCAGAATGGGGTCACTGATAAAGGAAAATTAAGTCCCGAGTATTCATTGGCTCCAGTTTCCAAGATACAGTTTCAGGTCAAAATTGCATCAAAATAATTCAAAATTATGAGGGGGATGTGCGATTATGCTCTATAACTTTTCTACAAAATGTGATACAGCAATGAGAATGGTGCCACACCAATCATTATAAATTTATCTTTTTATTGATACCACTAGCATGACTTTCCATTCATTTAATGGTTTTTCATGTAACGTTTTCATGCTTTTTCACTCTGCAAGAGGTTCCACTGTTGTAATCTGGAGCCCTGTAGCTCTGCCTTACTCTTAGGCAATTCCAAACCCCTGACCAGGTCATTTGGTTCACTCTCTGAAATTAGAAGTGGTTCAAGAGGAAAATACGGTGGGCTAAAGTTTGGGTCCACTGACATAAACGGCTCCAGATCAGTTGCATCCTGCTCATCGTCTTTATCACCATCTGAGAGTAGGATTCTGGTGGATCTGGAATTGGCAAATCCTCACCATGGGGTACAGGACACCATGCAAATGGAATGTCTGGATATTCCACTGTCCACTTCTCCTTTCTTGAGATCCCTTTTGCAAATTGGGGGAACCATGCAAAAATAGCAGTCGCTACTATGATTGGTGGGTTCCCTCCACACCATTGGGACTGTGAAAGGCACAGACTTTTTCTTCTTGCTTAGCCAATGATGCAG